ATGCATTTGTAATGTCTTTAGGACATTTTGTTGCTGCAGAGGGTGATTGTAATTCCTATCTCTGCGAAATTAATATATTTCCTTTGTCAAAAGAATCACATCAAGGTTCTTGGACTACTGAACAACCACCATCGCCAGAAGAAGGAGCCATCCATGCTCCACTGTTGCTGCTTCGTTCCCAGACTAATTGAAGACGAAATACTAAAAACACGAAAATGGTGATAACTTACAACCGTATGAATTTGTCCTTGTTATTTTCTCTGAGCACATTCCTCCCTCGCGGTCTTCCTGATGCTGTGACGTCTTATGTCACCGCGCGCGGGGAAGAACCTGGCTAGCCCTCGCACAACTACAAGCCCTCCTCCTTCCGTAATTCTTTGCCCAAACCGAGAGGTGTCCACGGCTGACCGGAGCTACGAGAAGGCTGTGGAGAGAGGCCTGAGCCTGTCCTGGGGAGCTCGGGCAGTGACCTGTCTTCAGAATATGGAGCTGCTCACTATTCTACTTGCGCCCCTGCTTCTGCTCCCGTGTCCGTGAGTAATGCCAACGGTCCAACCGTGCGGGAAGAGATGGAGATTGCGCTGGACGAAGGCGGCGAGCTTGCTTAGACCTTGGGTGATGCTATACGACCCCCAATGCGAGTCGATCGGGTGTGCGGCGTCTAGGCAGATCGGTCTGCGCGGAGAGCCCCCGCAGCATGCCACCGTGAAACGGCAGGCACACAGGGCACTCTTGCCCTCGAAGGCCCCAAGGAGGCGGGTACTCTAGCATTCTTTATAGAAGTAATGACATGACTATCCGCTATAGGGGATTTAATTGTATGATCAATGATGCAATTTTGTTGCAAGCTTTGCCTTGGTGGGGAGGTGGTTTGTAGGAAGCAAGTGCGGGCTACACAGCCCGCCTTTTCTTTTGGCTTTCCGTTTTCAGTCTTTCATATCTTTTAAATAAAAAGTTCAAATTAAGTTTACTTTTCATATTCGTGTTTCTTGTGAACAGGGCTTGCAAATGAGATCTATTTTGGATATATTTTGATCAGTTTTTAATAATAAATCACCTTCTCAAATTTGGTACAAGTGACCGACAAAATCAATTCTAGATCCCGCGACCGACAAAATCGTAAGTTTTAAGTTTCAACTTCTCAAACATGGAATGAGCAACAATATCGTAAGTTCCAGAAGCTGCGATCGACAAAGTCGTAAGTTTTAGAAATTAACAATTAAAACTTGTTCTGCCCCCGCAAAATTCCGCATCTTAGTGTTATGTCAGAAATATTTTAGCTAAGCTGTGTTTTCTGAGTACTCATAAACCAACTGAAATTAATGTAACTATGCAAGGTATGTCCTTAGAATTACAACATTCTGATTCCTACTTTGTAGCTGTCGCACAACTTCTTATTTATGTGGACGTAACTAGGAATATGAAAAATTGCATTTTTGGAATTTGCCCCATTCAGTGACTTTGGCACTGGACGTTCCAAAAACGGGTACTATCGGATCGGGTGAATTAGACAATAGAGAGAGGTCTGTTGGCATTTCAGCCTTTCTTCTCCTTTCAGGGCCTATCTGAAAGAGAATCCAGTACCTCTTGGTCCTGAATATCAGAACAGGACAAACGAATCGGCAAACAGAAACTAAAGCAGGTGTTGGATTTCAAGCTGGTGTTAAAGATTATAAATTGACTTACTACACCCTATTACGTCTTGTTTTTACTCCTATATTGGGAGTTACTCTACGTATTGCAATTCCTGAACCCTTTTTATCTTTTCTGTATCGGGGATCGTCAAAATAAGCAAAAATAGTATTTCTACGTAAAACACCCATAAGGGGGTGGCGGATGTCAGTGGTTCGAGTCCGCTTATCTCCGAACTGAAACATCTTAGTAGCCAGAGGAAAAGAAAGCAAAAGCGATTCCCGTAGTAGCGGCTAAGGGAAGGAACTTCCTATTCCGACCGAGGAGAACAGGCCATTCTACAGGGCGTTTAATTATTCGAATGTATCAGCAGAATTTTTTGGATAACTCAGTTAATCATCCTAACCAAGATCGGTTATTGGATTACAAAAGGCAATTAGCTAGAGCAGCAGGTGCTGTAGCGAAACTCATTGCAAAAAAGGGTAAAACTCGGCAAAATAGCCCCATAACTTCGGGAGAAGGGGTGCCCCCTCACAAAAGGGGGCCACAGTGACCAGTTGGTGGAACCTTAGGTGGTTCTCGGAAGAAGATAGCGAAAAAAATTATCCCTGAAATCAAAACTAAAAGGAACGTAGCTTCCAAGGTTAAAGGTAGATGAACAACCATTTGATCTCCATCAACAGCGCTATAGACTTCAATGCGGTAGAGTAGACGTTTTGTTCCTAATTTTTCTGGACCAAACCTTCACTCCGACCCAACGATACAATGAATTTTTTCTGTTCATATTCATAAATAAAAAAGATTCAGAATCGCCGACTATTGCTAAGCAGTTTTGGGATACTAAACGGACCTCCCCAGATGGTAATCTTAAAGTGGCCGATTTACCCTCTTTTGCAATGAGTTTCGCCTCTCCTCAGCCTTCCCCTCCTAAATCTTAGAATCCTAATGCCGCAGAAGGACCAGTGGTGATACAATCGGACACCTTGAAGTATTGGTTACATTGTTCAGGGAGGGTTTATTATGGTCAGCGTACTGGCATCTTGTGTCTGAGATCAAGTTACTGATGACTGAGAGAGAGAGAGTTTATTCCTTTGTAGATTAAACATGAACAAATTAGGGCAGGAGATCGACTGGCGCCGTATAGTCGCACTAAGCGTAGCACGCGGTAAGATACATCCAGGACCACCATGTATTGACGGGCTCCTGCCTCTCTACTGTAACTCTGTTATTATGGAAGAAATTTCTTTCACCCCCCCTCCTAAAAAAATGAAAGAAGATATGCACACATGCATGCCATTTATCGGGACCTAAAGCCGGGCTTGACCGTCATATCGTATCGTGCGGAAATTGTTGGATTCAACACACATGCGTGCCTATGATGTTTGAGTCGTGCACGTACGTGACTGCATGCCTATGATGGATGCACGTTTGAACATAGAAATAAAGAGATCGTGCGTGTTACGCTACCAAACGACCTTGCTGGGCACGGCATCAATTAATCTCCAATTACGTACGTACTCATTATATTGTGCCAGAGATCAGAGATCGACCTACCCCCCACGCACGCACAGTCGACCTAGCCAAAATTGTTGATCAACGGTGAGGGCTATTCGATTGACGATGGGTGATCCGTCGGCGGTCCACCTTCCCGACCTCGTGCTCGCGGAGATCTTCGTGCGGCTGCCGTCCAAGGACTTCCACCGGTGCCGCTGCCTCTCCCGCGCCTGGGCAGCCGCCCTCTCCTCCGACCACCTCATCGACCGTCACCTCTCGGTGCACGGCAAGATCCGGCTGCACTACGACGACGTCATGACACACCTGGTCTTCGAGTGCTCCATTCGCCGTCGCATAGTGACAGAGCTCGAGAGCTTGGGCGACGGCGAGACGTCTTCCGACGAGAAAGAGAGCAGCGAGGGCGAGTGCGAGGCGCCAGAAGAGAACGAGAACGGTCAGGAGACTCCCAAGGAAGATGATAATGAAACAGATGATGATGATGATGATGATGATTTTCATTTCGAAGAAGAGTGTTGGCGAGAGGAATACCGGACCAAAGGCTATATGGAGGCATACGAGGACTACTATACTGCGATGCCAGACTTGGATGCGTTGTGGGAAAAGGCAAAGGAGGAAATTTTAGGGATCAAGGCTACCGACTCCAATGACTACGACGAAGCCAGCGCCATCGAGGCCACCGACTCCAATGACTACGACGAAGCCAGCGCCATGCTCCTTAAAGCATGCACCGTTCCATACGGTGCTCTCCATCCCCGCATCCGGCAACCGTTCTTGGAAGAGGACCCTTCCATGCACCCCTTGAGCGGCCAAGGAAAATCAAAAGGGCATATTGACGCCAGGAGTATTCGTGGCCGCGAGAGGACGGAAGAGGAGGTCGACCAAGAAATCATTGCTTTTCTCAGGAGATTACGTGATATGGACCCACAAGCACCAGTAAGTGACCGATCAACTTTCTGATAGAACATCCGTTGATGTCTAAGTAGCTAATTGTATGTGGTCAGTTAAATAATTCAAATATCTACATGTATGTTGATGCAGCTTTTGAGGGAGTTTGATACCTACCAGTTGCCACCCATACCTCCGCAAGGGCAAGACGGGATGGTTTCTTTTGAGGAAGGGGTTGTGCAAGAAGATGGCTCCGACTACTCGGATAATGGGGATGTTTGCCAGCACTCTGTCGTCGACAACTCTTAGATTCAAACACAGTAATATATATGACAAGTCAATCTACCAGCCGATTTAATTTTATGATAGATGATACATTTGTATTTTCAAAGCTATATGCCTTAGCGGGTGACATACATCTATTAATTATTTGTTATCTCAGAAATCTTGCAGTTTATATGAGTTTCGTTCTTGCCAGGACTGAACACACAAGCTATACGCCTATTCACTAGTGGTGTAATCTTATCTATGTTCCATATTTTTTTAGGTGACAAATAAAATAAGGGTTGTGCCACGAAATTAAATTCCCCACAAAATAACCGTGCAAGCTGTGCTATAGCTGCCTAGAAGCCTCGCCGCTATGCTATGGCTGCTGCTGCGAAATCCTCGACAATGCTTTCTAAACGCATGGCTCCGAGATCAGCAAAAACCTCAAAAATCATCTCTCCCACCTGAAAAATTGCCGCGGTTGCCGCTATGACGTCGGCTATAGCTGCTGCAAAGGCAGCAATGAAATTGTTTCTCCCGGGATTTTAATCTTGCTAACAAATACTAGCAAAACTCTGTTGTTTGCTAAATTGCCTCACGAATCCTCTTGACAGAAAAGTCATTGTTGTGATCGGTGGAGCGTCGCTTATTCCCTGATTGTTGGTGGCTCCGCAGAGCATCTACGAAGGCGTGCTCGAAGTCTAGCAGCGTCGAGGGCAAAAAGGAGTCAAAGGCAACTCGGGGTGAGAGAAGCTGGGACGGTAGCCGCTGTAGACGTTCCACCGATTCTCCTCAGTTTTTTTCCAGTCGAATTCCGATTGTGCTAGGGTTGCCGGCAGCTGGATCCGATGGTCCCATTCCGAGAAACCGCCCGCTATGGCTCTATTCCCATTTGCCTTGATCTTGTACTGGTGGAGAATATCACCTAACCTATAACACAGCATGCCGTCGCCGTCGTCGAACCAGGCGCCGCTTGGCGGGTCGTTGCTGTCGTCGTTCACATGGAAGGTGTAGCGCAGCTCCCAGCCATGCAGCCGTTCGCCGTCGTCCCTGTGATCCTTAGGCGGCACGACCCAGAAAGTGAGCTTCTGCTGGCCGGCGACGCGCACGGCGATGCACAGCTCGCCACACAGCTCGAAGGGTTGCACATGAGCGGTCGGCAGCAGCACGCCGGAGTCCACCGGGAGGCGCAACGTGCGGCGTGCCTCGGTGGCCACGTCGATGACTAGCATCCGATCGGGAGTCCGGTAGTGCCCCTGCCGCTCCATCAGCACGTATAGCTTGCCGTCGATGAGCACGGTCAACGGCAGGAAGAAGTCCGGCACCGCGTGGTTCGGGAACGTACGCCGGTGCCGTCGCCACCTATTACCACCCCCCACGCCCAAGGTGAGCACGTCCAAGTAGCTCTGTGGCGACTCCGCTCCCCACCGATAAGAAAGGCAGAAGAGCTTGTATTGATGGGAGGATGGGCTGAACCCCATGGCGTACTTGACGAGGAGGTCGATGTTGGGCGGAGGCGGGATCTTTAGGGTCCCACCGGTGACGGGGTTGCTGACGAAGACCGGCCAGTCCTTGTACTTTCCCCCGAGCGCGGCGAGGAGGAGGTAGCCATTGCAGGCGTTGACGGGGCTGTAGGCGGGGGCTAGATCGGTGATGCGGCCCATGACCTTGGCCGTGGTGGGGTTGAGGACGACCATGTCCAGGCCGATGCCCCTGACGCGGATCTCCAACACCGCCAACGCCTCCGCTGGGGTGCTGCCGGGGGTGGACACGACGTGGGCGGCATGGCTGTGGAGGTAGACGAAGGATGGGTTGGTGAGGATACGGCGCCATTGCCATGAGACGCAGCGGCCTCGGGCGACGTCTCTCGTCGGCAGCCTAAAAAGGATGTCACGCAAAGTCTCCTCGGCTATCGACTCCATCGATCGTGTCGTGGAACCAACACAACGATCGACTCATGCCCAGGCATGGCATATATATAGCTAGCCTCGCGTCTTGAAACGGCGTCAAAAACGAGTCGGACAGTGAACCAATCCGATTTGGACACTGAACAGTTAAGCAATCCGATTTGGTGCACCCGTCTCGTCATCATCTTGTCTATTTTCCTTCGTTAGCTAGCAAAGCAAGCACCCACGGGGGAAAAGGAATAAATTTATCTTTTAAATTTGACGGCACTTTTTGGAAAACTACAGCGTAGTGAATTTGAGTAAGCTTTACCTTATTTAAATTTTCTCACATTCTTTGACCTGAACTTGTTACATTGTTTACTCCATTTATAAATAGTTTCCCCGATTCTTTTTCCCAAATTATAAGTGCCGCATGTCAGGAATTTCGAATTTCAGCCCGAGCGCCCCCCTCCCCCCGGCCGTTGGATTGTCACACAAATCTTCCACACCGAAATCAGCCACGTCAGCGGTGAGGGATCTGGCTTCCTCCGATGACACCCCGCGCATATCAGCACCATTT